CTTCTTTATTTAGGATGATGCAACATTCATCCTCTTCTTCTATTAATGATGATGACAATATCACGCCAAACACTCGTAATAGACATTATTATTTTATTTTTTCACATTACTACTTTTGATGTTTACTTCTTTAATTATAAAAATATTTTAATTTAATATTTTTAAAATAATTTTTTAAATTTTAAATTTTAATTTTATAATTTTCTTTATACTTATAAATTATTATGAGAATTAGGAATCTTAAAGAATAATTATACAAATAAATAAAAGAAAATAAATCAAAATTAAATATTACATTTTGTAAGTTTGTAAATTACATCTGGAAAAATCTGGCTACAATGTTTAAGAAAATTTCTTCATCTGCAGTGATTGCACAAGGGATTGATAATTCTTCCCCTTTGTATGCTGAATTTGATCGAGAAGCTTGCTCGACAGAACTTGTGAAGATGTTTGTGATAACTGGGCTTCCTTTACATTTCGTGCAGAGTGAAGCCTTTCGAACCTTTTGAGTGTACTACAGCCAAGATTTAATGTCCCTTCTTGCATTACACTTACGCGTGATATTTTGATGCTTTGGGGTACCGAAAGAGCGAAGTTGAAGAAGTTTCTTTCTGAGCATTGTCAAGGAGTGTGTCTCACTATTGACACTTGGACTTCAAATCAAAATCTAAGTTACATGTGTTTAATTGTTCACTTTGTTGATAATAATTGGAAGCTATAAAAGAAGATTTTGAATTTTCGCCAAGTGACATTCCATACAGGAGAAGATATCACTAAGATTGTTGAGATGTGCTTGAATAATTGGAAGTTGAGTCGTGTTTTCAGTGTGACGGTTGATAATGCTTCATAAAGTGATATTAGGATGTTGTAAAACTTAAATTAGGAAGTTTATTTTTGTTATTTGGTATTCGTATAGTAGTATTAATGGTTTTAGGCATGAGTGGCATAACCAAGAAATATGGGTGACAAACCTATTTAATAGGCATCATGATTTATTTTTTGGCATTTGAAGAGGCAAACATTTTGCCTATAAATACTTGTAACAATTCATTTGAAAAGATGCAGAAAAACAGAGAGAGATTAAAGAGAACAAAGTGCTGCCAACTTTTATTTTTGCCTTCTTGTTGCCAACAGGATTCAATACCTAAAGAAGAAAATGATGTCTTCGAACAACTTAGTTTTGAAGGGAGACTACTTTCATATGCATTGTTGTACACATAATTTGAACTCAATTTTGAAGGAGGGATTAGAACAGGTTGATGATTCTATTTCAAGAATCCGTGCTGCAATTAGATGCATAAGGAGTTCTCCTTTTACACTATCTAAATTCAAGGCATGCATTGAACAGGAAAAGATTGAATCTGAAGGTCTTGTTCGTTTGGATGTCGAAACGAGATGGGATTCTACTTATATGATGCTAGAGGTTGCTTTGGAGTACAAAAAAGCTTGAGTTTCAGGACAAAATGTATGCAGATGAGTTAGATCTAAATGTTTGGGACAATGTTCAATTAATGTTGCCATTTTTTAAGATCTTTTATGAAGCTACTTTGCACATTTGTGGTACCTCCTATGTTACTCCTAACATATACATGCCAGAGGTATTTGGAATATGGAATAAAATTCAACAAATGTGAGTCCAGGGATAAGAGTATAAGTTTGATGGCAGAAAGGTTGAGAAGGAAACACAATCAGTATTGGGGAAATCCTAATGATCTAAACATGTTGATAGCTGTTGTTTTTTATCCATGAAGCTGTTAATTTGAAAGAGAATATAGAATCTTGTTTGAAGCTACTTTTTAAAGAATATAATGGTCTAGAACGGGGGTTTCAAAGTGATTTACAAGAAGCAAAAATTGATAAAGATTGTCATTGTGATCTCTATGGTTGGACTCATTATTTACAATTAACTGGGCACAAATCAAATATAAAATCTGAGCTAGAAAAGTATTTGGGGAAAGACCTAGAAGTCTATCACAATTTTGATTTGTTAAATTGGTGGAAACTGAATTCAAATAGATTTCCTATACTTGCAAAAATTCCTAGAGAGGTGTTGGCTATGCAAGTCTCAATTGTACCCTTGGAATATGCATTTAGTACTGAAGCAAGAGTGCTTGATCCTTATCGTAGTTCCCTAACACCTAAATTGATGGAAGCACTGTTTGCACACAAGATTGGCTGGAAAGGGAAGGAAGAACACCCTTCTCATTGTTTTCAAATGAAGATTTTCTGGATCTTGAAAAAATTGAGCTAGGTAAGATGATGAGATCATTATTTTGTTGGTCTTTTGGATATGTTACTGCCTAGTATATAATGATTTGATAAGCAATTAGGTGTTATTCTTTTTACAGATATGACTTCACAGCAAGATGCTGCTATTTTGGCTTCTATTGCTTTTGATGGTTGAGTGAAGCCAGTGCTTGTTAAGTTCTTTTAGGATTATTATATATTGTGCTTGAAAGGATCATTGCTTTTTGAACAATTTATAATTCTTTTCTAATTGTAAATTTCTTATATTGTAGTTGATGTCTTATATTTAACTCTGAAATAGTTACACTGAGCATCTCTTTGGTTTGAATGAGTACTCTCTTTTGCTAACATGACGTTTATTTGATGTTAAAACACCTAGGCATTGAAACTGACATGCTGCAATAATCAAAGATACAAGCATGGTGAGTCAGATTTTCATAGGCTTCATATTGGATTTTTCCTTTACAAATGATAAGTCTGGACTGGATTGTGCATATATATATATATATATATATATATATATATGTGTGTCAAATGTGAAAGATTCCCTTTTAGGGCCAGCCACCAATTCCAGATTTCCCTTTACATATGTTAGGTCTGGGTTATGCATATATATGTTGATAAATGTTTAAAAGCCAAAAATGAAGCTGCTATTTTAGGGCCAGCGGCTGTAAACCTCTTTGTCATCAGAACTCACATAAATGACATACTAAGCAACGAAGTTTCTGATAATTTCTCTGCAAACTGGATGGCTTAATTAATAATGCTTGATCCTTTTTTCTGGCCCATATGTGCAATTGATTTATGCTTCTCATTCATTTGTTTGAGGTAGTCACATTGTGAGAGGATTGCTGAAAGAAGAGGGAACACATTGCAGGAATTAGTTATCAGCATCAATGAGGTTGATGGTTGTGCATAGCAGTTGTAATTATACCTTTGGCTGCATTTGTTTGTCTATGTATCTAGTGAACAAGCAATTTGCAATTTCTATTAACATAGAAATTATCATTTTTTGTGTATGGTCTGATAGAAAATAGTGTTTCTTTCTGGATCCACACCAACACAGGGCGCAGATCTTTTTAGAGTTGAGTCTACAGCTAGTGACACAATCTCGCAGAAACTTTGTTTCCATTCAGATGCAGTGATGTTGTGTTCTATAAAATCAAATGTAGTCACTTGCAGCATCTCTATTTAAGCTGAATCTGATTTGGTTGTTTGAGGGCATTGTTGTGAAGTTCCATTTTGCACAAGCTTTGCACGTTCAAGAGATTCTTATAGTGGGGATCCTACAAACCTCAACTACCCTTGTTTGTAGATAATCCATGTGAGTGATTTTCTTTGGAAAGTTGTTAGGGGTATTAACTCTTTGATTTCACACAGGAACTTACTGTCAAATAAATTTTTTACCACTGCATTAAAAATGAAAGCAGTAAGTGGGTGGGGTGGGGTAACGGGTCCCTTTGGCAACTATCAAAATTGCTAAAATTGATCAACCAAATGGACTTGACACCAACATAGCTCAAGATGGCGGAGAATTTGTTGAATAGGGCCAAGATCCAGAGAGTGTTGCTGATGGAGAGGATACTACTGATGATGAGCTCTTAAAGTACACTCGAGGACTAATATGAAGTATTTGACCTGAGAATTATTCATACAAAAACTAGGTTTGCTTGAAGATGATCTTGTGTTCTGACCCTTCATGTTGGGAGACTAGGAGTAATAAAATTAGAACTTACAATGCCACTTCAGTGGTTTTTACTTTTGCGACATTTTGGGCCTTTGATTTTTTTTCTTTGTTGACATTTTCTAAGTTCATGATGATTTTGGCTCAATATTTATATTTAATTTTCTAATTTTTGGGCCTTTAACTTTTCCTTTACTGGAATTGACTAAGTTCATAATGATTTTGACTCAGTAGTATCTATATGCCGTGTAACTCGTATTATTGCTATTACTTTTGCTCTTTAGGTATTATAAATAGGGTCTCACTCTCACATTACTCGAGCATAGCTTCAGATATTCAACCAAGAATTTGGAGGGGAAGTATATTTTACATTGAACAGATTGCAGGTTCGTTTGACCAGACTATTAACTTCTATACTTATTTCACATGATTACTTATTCAGTTGTTATATTGCTTCTTGTCTAAGTTCGAAAAGACCCTCCCTCAATCATTTAGAACTACAATGCTCACCAATATACTACTCTTCTTAATACTTTACTCGTCCATTGTTAGTGTTAGATAGTTAATTCAGCTATTTGAGTAGAATTGCTTCTTGTCAGAAACAGGGAAAATTATTATCTTATGTAAACACCCAGCTATAGAGGTAACTCCTAGCCCAGGGCAAATGCAAAACAACAGAAAAAGATGATACCCCTACGTGACCCCTTCTCCCCACTATTTATTTACATTCTCCATTTCTCTCTCGTATAACTACTTTCCACTCAAACTATCTCATTTTACAATTTTGGACCTGTGTGTAATAAACCTGTAAAACTTTGAGCTTGGTTCAAGAGTTGTGTGACTCAACAATACCGGTCTCCTTAAAAGCCACCTTCTCTTAAAGTCAGAAATCAGGGAACTGTCTAATATTGCTCTCCTCTTCCCAAGATTTGTGCTGATTCCCTTAGCCACAGAAACCTCCTGATGAGGATGTAGCTTTACATAAACCGAAACATCAATGTTGAAAGTGACATCCCTATGATGAACATCAATATTAGTTTTCATCACCTACTATGATTTGCATCACATCTCAAAGTTCTGATAATGTGTATAATGCAAATCTCAAATCCAATGATCTATTCCTACAACATTCAATAGGCAACAACGGCGTAGACTCATTGCTTTGCCTTGAATCAATTGAAGTTTTAGCCACATGTTTATCATATGTTTCCATAGAAATTATCTTATTCATCTGTTTTAGCAATAAATCGAAGTCATCTTCGCTCCTAACCAAGCTAAGACGCACATAACTGTTGTCAACACCAAACCTACTTCCTGCACGGCCAGTAATATTAACTGCTTTGAGAAGTTCATAGCAAGAACGACCTTCTGATATTGATGTTTCACACTTCAACCATGCAAAAGCTACAAAAAAATCAATATGAAATTTGTTAGTCATGAATTGTCAATGTATAACTGCATATCTCTAACCAAAGAAGCCTTGCACAAAGATCTATATTTCTAACTGATCAACCCCAACAATGATGATTAATTTTTATTCATTCATTATATACTTAAATTAATTTTAACATGAAATAAGTAATAGCCTGCTTGTTGAGAACACTAAATGATCCTCACATGCATTCCATTAAATAAAGGGTTTGTCTAAATTACCTCATGTGATAAATAACCTCATTCCAAATAGATTAACGAGCTTTTGTCTATAAAAACTTAAAACAAAAGTTGATAATTTTTTTTCATACAATGTCCTAATTTTATTAGTCTACTTACCATGAGAATATTATTTATCCAAAGGGATAACTTAGGCAAACCCTTAAATAAAAATATCAACCACTTAATTTTACTTCTGTACTATTTTAGTTTTCTTAAAATCTAAGGTGCATTATTTATAAAAGAATGTTATAATTGATTAGTGAAACTACCCAAAATTATATGTTAATGTGGATTTTTTACGTGCATACGAATTCCAATCTACAGTAAATCATTGATAAATTCTCTTACATAACTGAATTTTGCACCAAATAAGAAACACTAGAACCATGTTTATTGTACGCATAGAATTGATAATTAACTTTAATACCCTTATATTTTAAGATTACTAAAAGTTGCTGCTTATAAATATCTTAAAACGTGAGTGACTAGAGAACATATATTTTTAAAAATTCAAAAATAAGACTGACAAAAAATATAAGTATAATATTATTTAAATTGAATTGAAAAAAAGTCAAATTCTATTGAAAAAATGATTAAGTGACATGAATGGATCAAGCGTGACGACTTTTATGATTTGCATTGACACGTTTAGCAACACGTTTGTCTGGGTTTAAAGTTTTCTTTCAACTTCTTCTTTAACTGTGTTTGAAAGTAGTGCAAATAAACCACATATGTTTACTTATTTAGACAAAAATTCCTCATTTGTTTCATGGATTTGTTCTACTAAAACATTTTATAAAGTCTAGACATTGGTTTATATGAAGAAAAAAAATCTCTCTTGACCAGAAATTACCTGGAGAAGGTGTTCTGAGTTGCTGGCGAAACGAACAAGATTGAGGTTTTAAGTCTTGAATAGAAAATCTTTTTGATTGAGACAAAATTTTCCCCAATCTGGTCCATCGGTTCTTCATGGTGTTGTATCCAAATTCATACATTGACCTCCCGTTTCCACTTAGGACTACTTTTAAAAGCTTTAGAACCCTTAGTTGAGTCTCTCTAGAAACACCATAGGTACTCAAGTCCATGTATGTCAACATTCTTTTGTAAACTGCTTCATCCTTTATTATTGCCCACCTGACCACAAACAGACACATATTTTTCTAAGGAAAATTCTATAAGATACGAAATAGTTTTTGTGAGACGCTGGAAATGTGTAAATTTTTTCTCTTAAGACTTTCTAGTTTAAAATCGACTAACGTTGTTCACTATCACGTTCTCTCTCTCTTTTTCTTGTTAACAAAATTGTTGTAAGAATATGACAAGAATAAGATTACTCTTTTAAGTAACCTTTTATCTGTATTGATATATCTTCTATAAAAAGATGTTAACATCAGTCCTTAACCCTAAGGTTAAGTAATTAATAAATGTAAAAAATTCTATTAAAGAAAAGTATTACTGTTCATAGTCTGAAAATGTCTTGATTTGGACTAGCTAATTTGGATGCAAACTTAAACATCTAAAGTCAAATAACATAACACAATTCAAACACCCATAGGCAAGTATTTAACTTACCCAAATCGGCTTCCAGCATGACCTGTTAGCTTAGAAAGTGAGAATATCATTAAATCTTCATCAACTGGTGCTGGGATAGGTGTGAAATGCGGCCAGAAGTAGGAAAGATCATGAATTGTCTTCACAAATTGGCCTTGAAGAACAGCCTTCTTCAATTGGCCGTCTGGATTATTAGGAGAAGTCACCAACTCAACAAATGTCGTGTTTGATGCATCACTCTTCCACATTGATGAGTCCCCATTGAATTTATAATCCTCAGATTTGAAAAATTCAGTTTGCTCTTTATAAACCTAGCATGTCAAGAATGCTCAAAATTCAGTTTAGGTATCGACAAATGCTACTAACTACACAATTTCTAACACATTTATTTTGACACTTCTATTTATTGGTTGAAATCTTTTAAGATTCATGATGTATGTTTCATTTCTTGATTAATGAGTCTTATTTATAATATTGTAAACTTTGATAATTTATTTAGAATTTAATTTTAATTTACTGTCAAAGTGTAAGTATAAAAAAAATTTATACTATCAACTAATTAAAATTTATTTTAAATAAATAAAATTTTGAAGCAATTATTATAGAAGTTATTGATTTTCAATTACATGACAATCCACGATTTAAATTTCATTGTAAAAATTTTTACACTGGTAATATATTTTAATAAAATTCTTTTATTTAATATTTAAAAAGTGTTAAAGAGTGTTGAAATTCTTCTTTCATGCTTGATAGACATATTACCGGGTAATAAGGAGTTGAAGCTACCACTTTTGTGGGTGAATTTGAAGCAGGTGAAGAAAGTGCATGTACTGCAGCATTAAGAAGATGGGTGGCACCTGCTCCAAATATTATGTACTTTCCATCTGTATTAGCATTTCCAACGCTGGCATGGACTTTTCGAATGCGTGCCTTCAACTCTTGTGAGATGAGAGACCCATCATTGAATTCATAGCTCATCCGATGCCACCCTGCAATCACTATGGCACTGCTAGCTGCATTCTTCATCCAAAAGGGCTCCAAAAATGTTGGATCTCCACTGCAGGCAATAACATACATTCAGAAGTTAATTCAGATGTTTTCATCTTGATTTCCCCACCCATTATGCCTTTTTCCGATTTTTTTTTTCTTGTGTACTAAACGTATGGCTCGACAGTTAACGACTAATAAAATCTCATTCAACAAAAGTGAATAAACACTTTAATTTGAGGGCTAATAGCAATAAGTGAATATAAGATATGTAACATAATATAAAACCTAATAAATATGAAAATAGTTAATAAACACCCTTAAAGATGTCTACATCTTATGAAAACAAAAGAATAAAAGAAAAAAAGTAATATTATAATGAATGATTTGATGTGATAAAAAAAAGTGTTATATAAATATTGAAAATATTTGCATGCTTAAAAATATAAGTTGATTAAATTTTACATATCCTCACATACAGCCAAACGCATCCAAATCTATGCATGGCTACGAGTGTATGAAACCCTAAACTAGTAAAAAGTAACTACAAAGATTAATACCTATCAGCATCAACCATGCAATCAGATAAGAGCTGTGAGCAATCACTTCCTCCATAGCACATGTTGCACTCGCAAACTGGCTTGCCATGAAGAAATAAACCATCCAAGAAAGCCCTTCCATGGCCTGAGCACGAGATAGATGATACAGCTTCAGCTTCTTCCGTAGCATTTTGTGTCCAATTTATATTCCATCTATTGCACATGGACATGCAAACTAGCATGATATTAAAACCAAATGAACAAATTAAACATAGATTATACTTTAGACTATGCACCTTAGCCATGTTTTCCCTTATGCTGTCTCATTGAATTGAATTTCAATTTCATATATATAGATATATACAAGCTGTGACGAGAAGCAGCTAAGAAAGTGTTGTGGTGATTATTTTTTCATCATTGCTAATTCACTCGTGGGAAACATGAGTATATTTTGCATTGACCTTAGTAAATCCTATTTCAGTCTCCTAAATAATTTTTTCTTGACTTTTACGCATAATGTAAACATGTACCTAAAAAACAGAAGAAATTAAGACCCGCGTCCCATAATCAAGTTTATACACTAGTATAATGGCAACTGGGCTCAAAGAAAATTGATATCTAAGTTAAATTTTGTTTCTGAGCGTTGTATTTAGTCGTAAGAAGACACTGCAACATGTTCAAGAAATATAGAAATGTTACGCGTCTTTATTATTGTAAATACCGATCTATATTTTAGGCATTTCACTCTTCAATTTGGTCATATTCTATGTTGGTCAACCTCAAAAGATGACGTGAATTGTGAACATCATAAAAGAATATTGCATTATTATATTTTGGTATTGTCTTGCCATTATTTTCTTAGTTGTAAAGAAGTGAAATGCAATTGCAAATAAATAAACAAAATTACTAAACAAGGTCACTTAATGAATTAATTAAAACATAAAATAAGTTAAATATAGAATATACTTTGGATATATGCCAACAATAGGTTACCACAGTGGAATACAACAGAAAACAGAATATCAACAAACTGCCCAAAAACGAAACACGGAAGCTAAAAAATAACTGAAGAACACTGGCCTAAGCATCAAATGCAGAGACCAAAAAGTAAGAACAGATCTATGGGGGAACGAGGGTATGTATACATTATGATTATGATTATGATTATGATTAACTTCGTTGTTTAAAATATTGAGTTTTGTTGACTTTTTTTTCTAAAATTGAGTTTAAGCATCTAAAATTTTAATTTTTTTTATTAAAAGTAACATTTTTATTATATTAAAATTATAAATATATAATAAATATTTTTAAAATATAATATTAATATTTTTTTAGTTTCTTATAGTTAGTCTTAACGACTGAGGTTAGTATTTTTTTTTTTAAATGTTTATTTAATTATAAATTAATATATTTTAAATGGCTTTGATTTTTATTTTATTTCTCGAATAATCGATTTTAATGACTCTAACGACCGAGTCAATCAAAACCCATATGTAATTCAATAATTTATTAACATATATAACTGTACGTTATTGGTGTAAACTTATTTTAAATTTTTTAAAAAAATAAATTTTAGTGTAATATCAATTTATAAAAAACTATATTATCAATCAATTAAAATATATTGTAAATATAATTTTTATATTAATCATTATAAAAATTAATACTCGTTACTTTGACAACAATTTATAAATGAATTTTAACATGAAATTCTTTTAAATTGTGGATGTATTGAAAAACTTAATACTTAAAGTTTGCTTGGATAGAGTTTACGGTTGGAAAGGGAATATATTGACCATTAGTGGGCAAAAGAATGTAGAACGTAGATATGTTTTATTTTATATTGAACGGTGGATTTTCAGTAAGATTATCCATAAAACTCGTCTTCAGATGCAAGTTGTATATTTTATAGGAAATCACCAATGGAATTAATATTAATAAAGCAGTCTTCTATATTCGTTGTACGCTTGAAATGGTGAGAAATGTAGACTGAGTATTGTGGCAGTGATTTTGGTCAACTAAAACTTTTTATTTTATTTTATGGTTCAAATGGTGACTTGCGAGAGCTGTATACATACAATAAATACTAAATGTGGTTGTCACCAAGTAAGGAAGTATATAATTTAGTAAAACTTGGATTGGATAGAAACCCAGTTTAGAAGTAGATGATGATAGCATTGAGGGCTCAGAAAAGTAAGCATTTGAAAATGAATTTTTTATTTTTTGTCAATCATGAAAAGAAAAACATACATTGCAATGGGTACAATAGTAAGAGAATTAGAAAGCATATAGTTTTAAAAAAATAAAAATAGTGAAGAAAAGCCACTGGGAAGACGAGTTAGGATAATACTATCTTGCAATTATATTTTTATATGGACTTTAATAACAAAACAAACTGAGGACATAAAATTAAACTTGCCAATTTAAGCCATATTCCTTCATATGAACACCCAAAGTTTCACCATATGAAAATAACTAAAAGGAAAAGAAAGAAATAGAAAGAAAGATAAAAACATTCTTGTTATGGGCGAGGGAGAGGTGGAGATTTATTTATTCTAATTCCTAAATTGTTTATAGAACAATATGCTTTTTATTAATCTCTAAAGTGTGTGTCAAATTTTTATAGAATAATAAGCGTTTTATTGATTTCGAAAGTTAATTTGAGTGATATATTTAATCTCAAAGTCATCTCCGTAAAATATAGTTACGAGAGTCTTTACTTTATCATCATCTGCCTCTATATCTCTAGAGATTAATCTTTCATACAAAAATAATAAGGTTTAATTAAGTTTTATATTTCATAAAAATTCACAACTTTTTGGTTTCTTATTTTTCTTAAAACTAGCTTCTCATAAGTTATTTTGATCTTATATAAATGTATTTTTTATCTCTAAAATTTTAAGATTTTTTATTTTTGTTTTGATTTTATTGTATATTTTCATGCATAGTTTTAGTCTTTCTTACTAGTGTGGACTATAAAAAAGTCAAAATGTAAAACTCTTTTAATTTTTATATTTGACAAACACTAAAAATTAGAAAAATAAAAACATGGAGGAAGTAAAACTAAAAATTCATAAAAATATTAAGATAAAAAATATGTTTAAGTCAATATTTTATTTACAGGTTCCTTTCGTTATTTTTTTATATAATTCTTTTAAAAGTGGTGACTTTTCTATTTAGTTTCTTATTTTAGGAAAATCAATTAAAAATTCATAATATTTACAAGAAACAAATAAAAATCATATTATATTTAAAGGAATTTAATTAATAATTATAAATATTTAGAGAAATGAAATGAAAAATAAAAATTACAAAAGAATTCTTTAATAAAAAGAAATATATCATGAAAGATTCATTTTAAAAAATAAAAATTTTGAATTGACAGACAAATAACTTAATTAAACAAAAATATATGACTCAGACTAACATGAGTTAGGTAAGTGATTTATGACTGAGTGACTATTTTTAAAACCATTAGATTCTTTTTGAATCTTTAAAATATGTTATTTTATATCTTTAAAACATGTTATTTTTTATTTTTAAAATCTTGTTATCTTTTCTAAGTTGTATTTATGTGTATTTTGTCTCAAGGTAGTAATTTTAAAAAAGTATGTATTCATATGCATTGATGCAGTTTTAATTTATAATAAAAAATATTTTTTAAATAAATAAAATATTGAATATTATTCCAGATATCTTAGGAAGGTTCTCTATAAACTATATGTATTAAGTTAATGATTTTCAGAATTAAAATTTTCACATTCAATTTTATTGTCTCAATCATCATAAAAATGAGGTTGGATATTTATAAATTGTTCAATTATCTTCTAGATCTTTCTTATATTCTTCTTGTATATTGGTCGTATCTACTTCTTATAATTTTTGCAAATTTTGCTTAAGCCATAATTTTCTCTAAAGCTACCAGAAAAAAAAAAATTCATTAGATAAATATTATTTAAGTGATCATAAATCATTTAAGTTACACAAAATATTCTAATATTTCCTTAAACAAATAAAGTTTAGTTTAAGTTAAGATTGACTATCATATTTTTTATGGCTTAAGAGAATATTGACGAAATTTGTATGTTCATCACTTTATAAAATTAACTTAAGCGAACATAATATAGTTTAAAAGAAAAATTACATAAAATAATTTTTGTGTATTTTTTAGCATTTAACTACATCTCTTTAGTCATCATCTATATTCCAATTTAGCTAAGTTATTCGTTTCTAAGAGGACCAAGATGAGTATATGATATTTATAAATTTAATTAGTTTCATTTACAAATATTATAATTAAAAGCATGACAATGCAAAAAGAGTATGATTATTTAAGTTGTTAGATTTAAGAAACATATTTGTATATTATTTGAGAAGAAAAAATAAACAAAGCATCTACAACACTATTTCAATTGAAGATTACTTGATTTTATTCATATTTTGAATATCTCTTATAAACTTTTATCGCTTAAATTTTAACTGTAATTAATAAATCTACCAAACTAGTTTTTAGAAATACAAAAAAAATGTTTGAGCTAATTTTAGAAACAAAAATGAAAGGAGATAATTTTGAAAAACTAGAATTTAATTTTATATAAATAAATAAAGAAACTTAATTTTATAATTTTACAATTATGTTTTATTAAAGATGTTTACTTTAAAAGAATATTTTTAAAAAACTTATTTTAAATATATAATACTTCAAAAAATTTATTCTACAAAATTTAAATTATAAACATTATAATTTTTAAAATCTATAACATGTATGACTCATGTGATACGCGTAAGTTATCTTTAAAATTTAATTATATAAGTTAAAATATATTTATTTTCAATCTCTAACGTGTCTTTTGGAAGGAAGATAGGTGAGGTTTGACTTTTGAGGTACAAATACGACAATTCGGTGATAAAAAATGAGTATGAAAATGTGAAGGTGGTTCCTCTTGCATGTGAGCTGCAATCTAAGATAACTGCTAAATTACACTTATAAAATGTTGAAGACTCAAACAATTTTTTATTAGCAAAGAAATATATTAAAATAGAGGACAAGGGTACCTAACATCAACACGGAAACGGAAAAAGAAAAATAATTATCTTAAAAATTAGTAAACGATAAAAAAAATTAAAAAAAAATCAAAGTTAACCCTAACTGTGAACTCAAAAAATTTAAAGCTATCTAAAAGTATGATGCTAAACACAATTTGTTAGTAAAATCAATACTATA